ATTCTACGATTCAGTGAAACAGCCCAGAAGGGAGAGTGTATGATGAGCTGTCATTCTTGACGGATGCGTTGAAAAACACATTGTCAAGGCTATGCAAAATATTAACACCGAGATGTCTCCAGGTTGTGAAAGGATGTGAACATTTCCAATACTGAATTAATTGATTGATTGACCTATTTTGGGCAACCTTTCGGGTGTTCATAATAACTGGTGTTTTAAGTTTGGCAGTTCAGCTCAGTTTGTTGATTGCCACGACGGCTGTTTGGCGGTTCAGCGTCCATCCTGCCCCCTCCAGCAGCTGCCCACTCAGATACAGCATTCCGGCTTCCCTGCCCCGCCTCCTCTGGGCACTGCTTCTGCGTAGGCACCCACCAAAGGGGGCAGATTGTCAAACCACCGAACACCTGTTGCAGCAGGAAACGAACTCCAACGAACCAATAAACCACCGATCCGTGCCAATCTCCAGACATGTTTGAATGTGCTTGATGCAACATATACCAAACTGAAGAATAATATGTTAAGAGGGTGAATGTCCTTTATACAGAAGACTCAAGACAGTGGCATGGCTTTTCAGCATAAGGAAAGACCATGGATTGGATTTTCCAGTGGCCAGGGCTTGATTACTGAGCAGCCATGTGCTTATTAACAATGAATCCAAGACTATAAATGCATCTACACTACACCATTATAGATGTTCAGTAACACTTAGTCTGCTAGAGGTTTTTTTCCCCTACAAAATCCAACCGTTTGTATTTTGCTATGGAACTTTGACTTTTCTCCTGTAAGTCTGGCTCTCTTGTCAGTGTATTAAAAAATAATAAACCAACTGTCATTGAACGGCAGAAGCTATTGTCCAGCTACGAAAAATAAACAGATTTTATACTTTGGCTCCTTTGTACGTCATTAAGTATTTCCTGCAACGGAGTCGTAGAATCACTCAACACAATCCCTCTGCATGCTGAAAGTTGAACTAGACATGGTGTTGAAAGCAAGAATATACTTAATAGTTTTGAGAGGTTGGAAAAAATTAAAGCAGACATAGGCAGAGGACATCAAGGAGGGGAATTAACTCATTTTCTTTCCCTTCCCATGAGTTAGGTGACATAATCCCCTTCCGAGAGATTCCTAACCTTTCTTTGGTCAAGTAGAGGTTTTGGGAGAGAAGGCGGCTTTCATCACCAGAGTAGATAAGAAGAAAACACTCATTTCAGTTTTCTCCGTGTTGTTTCAAAACAAAACAACCCTTCACCATACAACTATAATATCAACACAGTTGGCACCCTCTGATACTGGAAGCGAAGCAAGCTAGGATGTGGCCAGGACTTGGATGGGAGAGCTCAAAGGAATACAGTGGTGCCTCGCTTAATGACATTAATTTGTTCCAGCAAAATTGCTGTAGAGCGAAAACATTGTAAAGCGAAATCAAAAAACCCATTGAAACACATTAAAAACCGAAAAATGGTTTGGTTTTTACGGTTTTTTCCTTTCCTATCCCCTCTTTCTTTTTGTACCCTCTATCCCTGTTCCTAAATAAAAAAAATAAAATTTAAAAAAAAACAAACAAACAAAAAGAAACACATTAAAAACCGTTCAATGCGTTCCAGTGGGCTAAAAATTCACCACCCAGTGAAGATCCTCCATACAGTGGCAATTTTAAGCACCTGGTGGCCATTTTGAAAAACTGACAATCAGCTGTTTTGATCGTCGTAATGCAAAGAATCAGTTCCTGAAGCAGGGAACCGATCTACGCAAAGTGAAAAAACCCTATTTAAAACATCCTTTTGTGATCATAATTGCAATCACAAAAACATCATCATGAAGCAGATTCATCGTAGTGCAGGGTAATCGTTAAGCGGGGCACGACTGTATTATGTTTCTCTAGGTAATGGTAGGAGGGATTTCTCCATGAAAACTTGGTCAGAGTTGACAGTGTGGAGTTAGATGGACTGAGGCGCAGATTCATTACACAACAGCTTCTTCAGTTGTGTTGGACCACATCTTCTTGGACTTCATCTCCAATCATTCTCCAGCCAGCATGGATGAGGGAGGATGGTAGATGTAGCCCAACATTTCTAGAGGGTGGCAGGCTGAAGAAGGCGGAAGTAACAGCTTCCTGTCATACCCATAGCTTCAGATTAAGAAGAGGTCTTGCAAAATTACTTGTCCTTACCAAGACAGGATATCTTGATCTGTCAAGACAGCTTGTGGTGAAATCACTGAGCCTGCAGGATTTCATGGCTTCAAGAAGAGGACAAGATAAGGAGCACTTTTTTTCCCGTCCAGGTTTCTGCCGTGTACACAAAACATCTCTGTAAAAAACTACTGTGCTTCTCTTGATTGAGGTGAAATACACATCCAAGAACTAGGTGATGATTCAAAAAGGATTGAACAACCCATCCAGTGCTTCAAATTTGTTAAAGGCCTTTGCAACTAGGCAGCAGGTATCCCAGTTTTATGCAACTCGTGTAACGTGTGAAGCTTATGAAATCTGGCACAAAGACACCCACGAATGCAGGAACGTCTTCAATATTTTCAATAATGAAAGAAAAATATCTCACCCTCTCATAGGCTAAGAGGAAAAAAATCTGCTGCCTTGTTTTTGTAGGCAAGAACAAGACAAGCAAAGGTTTACATTCCTAGTTCAGGTGTTGTGCTCTCATTCCAGGGGAAGGAGACAACCCATTCTGTTGTGTGGTGCCCAGATTCCAGAGCAAGTATGAGCATGTTGTATTAAGCACCAGTTCTGCTAACTACTGCTTTTCTTACCCTCCTCTTGTACAGCATATTGGTGTTTAGCAAAAAAATTTTGCATTGAGGGAAGATGCTCTTGCCAATCCCAAACATAATATCACATATCTCCATTAGCCCTACAGTCAAATATAACAACAACTCCTGCTATATGGAAGATTACAGATGTTTGCAAATTTGTGGAGGAGGACTGATGCAAAAATAGATGTCTCTTCTTTGCAGTCTTATATCAAATGCTGTCTTTCATTTGCTTCTTTCTTCTCTCTCTCTCTCTCTCTCTCTCTCTCTCTCTCTATGTAACAACAGACACAAGAAGCACATGACACTGTCTTCGAAGCAGTAAAAGAGTGTGGTCCATTAAATGTTCTTGATTTGGCTTTTCATAGTAGAAATGGCCACCAGGTAGAATGGCAATATCATCTTATTTTAGAATCCTTTTTGAATAGCAATAAGATTTCTGGGTTGCCTTTCCACCCCGTTTATTGCCTGGAGAGATCCCGCTGTAGAATTTCTAAGATTAGATTCTGTCATTCTGTGACAGTGGAATTTTATATTCTACTTAAAAAAAAAAAAAGAAGGGCATCTGTAAAATGATTAACAGTCACTATACAAAAGTGGCCCAACAAGAACATATATTTTTTGTATGACCAAATGAAAGACAAATACTTTTGACCTATGAAGTCCATGACTCAGATGTGAGACCTAACAGAAGTTCAAGACTGTAGAAAATCAAAGGTCACCCAGGAGACCCACTTGCCATTAACACCTCATTTCCATGCCAAGTGAAAACTATTCGTTATGCTATGTGCTGTCAAAGCGATTCGTACTTACTGCAACACAACTAGGGTTTCCGAGGCAACACGAGATATCTAAAGAGTGGTTTTACCAGTGATAACATACATAACCCACCTTGAGCTTCATGGCTAAGTGGGGATTTGAACCCAGGTCTCTTGAGATGTGGGTTCAAATCTGCCCAGAGTAGACCTTTGGTCTAGATGGTCTAGACTGCCCAGAGTTGACCCTTGGTCTAGATGGGCGGGATAGAAATCCCTCAGTAAATAAATAAATAAATAAATACTCTGTCACTCTGTCCCTAGTTAAGTGAAACCCCACCCTCCACCCTTGTGCAGCAACCAGAAGATGACATGACTATAAAATAAAACATCCCCTGAAAATAAGCTCTAATGTGTGTAAGACCCTGTCTTATTTTCCAGGAAACACGGTATAAATACTTTAGTAAGTAAATTATTGGTCTGTAACAACTGTTAGCCATACATTTGTGGGGCATTTTCAGTGGTAGACCAGTGGACAAAGTAATCTCATTTTAGTCTCATAAAAGACCAGTTTCCAAGGGATATACTCCAATCCCAATCCCTCTGTTCCACATGGATCTCCCTTTGGAGTGCCTCTGGGAAACACATTTTTGTTTCAGAGAGTTTGAACTTTTTCACTGGTTTTTCTTGATCACTGTCTGTTCTTCTGAGGAGTATCACTGTATGTACTGTAGTGGAGAGCACAATATAAATTGATGGTGATGATGTGGTGTAATAGTTAGAGCACCGAACTGGAATGGGACTTGGGAGAGTCAAGTTTCTGCTTCCTACAGAATGATAAAACTCATAGGTAACTAAGTTGGTCACTGCCTCCAATCCTGGTCTACTTCACAAGGCTGGGTTCATAGGATAATGGTGAGGACACTCATGTACCACTGACACCCAGTGAGCTCACTGGAGGGAAGGTAGAAGACAATGTACTGTATTTTTCCATGTATAAGATGCCCCCATGTATAAGACGCCCCCCCCACTTTTCTAATCCTAAATTAAGACATCTAAGTGGGGCTTAGCAAGTGGAGGGGGAAAGGGATCAAAGCACTGCAGAATCACTTTGATCCCTGATTTCCCCTCCACTTGTTTTTGTTCTCTCCGCAGCTTACTTCCGTGTATAAGACGACCCTCAATTTTTAGTCTAAAGATTTTAGACAAAAGTATAGTCTTATACGCGGAAAAATACAGTAAATTGCATTTTTCAAAAAAAAATGATGATCAGATAATCTACTGTGTTTGGTGATTGGGATAATCTCACATCCCTACTACTCTTTCTTCTAGGTATATGTGACTAAAAGAGGTGTGCAGAATTCCGGGGATTGTGATCCAGAAATTCATATCTGCACAACTCTCGTATCTGGGAGTCCAACTTGAAATGATTCTTCTCGTAGCAGATTACAGCTTTTGTTTCCATTTTTCTCCACTTAGGTCGAAAGGATTGTTGATAAAAGGAAGAACAAAAAAGGTAAATGGGAATATCTTATACGATGGAAAGGTTATGGCAGTAATGAAGACACATGGGAACCGGAACACCACCTATTACACTGTGAGGAATTTATCGATGAATTTAACGGACTGCACGTGACGAGAGACAAGCGGGCGAAACATGGGAAACAAACCACTGCGCCAAAATTTTTGCGAGAGAGCCGAGGATCGTCTCTCGACAAACTGCCACACAGACCCTCTGACTCTGGGAAGAGCAAAGGTTTGTCCCATAAAAAGAAGCGCATGGCCTCAACATTTCAGAAGCCAAAAAAGGGCTACACAGCCAAACCGGCCTCTTCGGGAGACAGAGCTGCTAAAACAGTCTCCTACCGGACTACGCCCAGCGGTTTACAGATCATGCCGCTGAAAAAGCCGCACAACGGCCTGCAGAATGGAGATGCCAGTTATGAGAAAGATACTGGACCTTTTGGGAACGGCTCCCAAAAGGCAAACGTGGATTTAAATGAACACGAAGGGGAACCTGATTTGCCTGGACTATTGGATGTTAATAGCGAATCACCAGTCATGAATGGAATCGGTACGTGATTTTTAACATTTTATTTGAGAATGATTTTTTTTTAAAGGGGGCTGTGTTTCAACTATGGCAAAATGTATTTACTATATTAAATGTGGGCCATGATATTCATCTGCTTATCCAAGGAACCCAAGCTGCCTTGCTTCCTTTTATGGAGAAAAGTGGGGTAGAAATATTTTAAATAAATACACATGTTTATGCATATCTACTTCAGTGGGACTGACTTACTCCCTATACAGGATTATGGTCCAAGTATAAAATATATCATATTTTGATTTTCTCACAGTGATGTGAGTTTTCTCAAAAAAATTAGAACATCTTTGGCTTATATACTGTATCCAAAAATATTCAACTTTTGATGTGGAAATTATTGCATTGGAATGTCTGTAATAATAGAAAGATATACTTCCCTTATATTTAACAAAATGTGACTACATCTGAAAGAACACTGTGGGGGTTTTTTTTTAGGACACACAACTGTACCTGACAGATCAACTATTTAACTTTTGTTGTTGTTGAGGTATTACTGTAGCACCTTCAGTTTCACTCACACTCTGAACTACTTTTCAGGTCCATTTTACTTTGAGAAAAATCCAATTGAGTACAACTAGTTGCATATTTTAATTCTGTAAAACAGTGGTCCCCAACCTTGGGCCTCCAGATGTTCTTGGACTTCAACTCCCAGAAATCCTGGCCAGCAGAGGTGGTGGTGAAGGCTTCTGGGAGTTGTAGTCTAAGAACATCTGGAGGCCCAAGGTTGGGGACCACTGCTCTAAAAGATGGATGTGAGTTTGTGGGCAGAAGCAACATAGAACATTTTTGTTTCATTGCTGGTCCTTGTGACTGATGGAGAAGCAAGAGATTTTGCAAATAGAAATAAGCTTAGCAGAATATTTGTCTACCAGTCTTCCCCTCTTTCTTGCCTTCATTAAGCTGAAAGATTTCTCATTTTGTTCACATGAAGCTGCTCTTTGAATCCATCAGCAACGGTTAGGTGTTGCAAGTATTCTTTCCATCAAGCAAGAGGAAAATATATGGTGTGGCAAATGTTCCACAAGAAAATCCAGCACGGGAAAATTTTCCACCTCACATTTCTGCTCTCTTTATGTTCTGCGTATAAAATGAAGGCATTTTAAACCAAAAGTGGGTGTTACGTGGCCCCAATGCCGTTTTTATGGGGTCTGGAATCTCCTAAGACATCCCACTGGAAAATGAGATGGTGAAAAAAGAAAACTTTTTACTAGTTTTATGCCTGCTATCTATTTGTGTGGAACATCTGGAACAGTGGTTTTCCACCTTGGGTCCTCAGATGTTCTTGGACTAAAAATCCTCTGCTGGCTAGGATTTCTGAGAGCTGTAATCCAAGAATATCTAGAGACCCAAGGTTGGGAACCACCTGATCTAGAAGGAATAAAAGCAGCACACAATCATCTTGTGTTGATTCTGGGGTTCTCTTGCTGCCTGAATTAAAGTGATCCATCCTTCTGTCCTGTGGTAAGGGGTGGATGAAGAGGTGACTGAGGAGCAATGCAACAGAAAAGCAAGAGGGGGGTTACATCTTACAATCAATTCTCTCACCAATGTATAGGATGGGTCTCATGCCCTGTGAATCTCCTTGAAATTCTCTCTAAGATTTCAAATTTTCTGCGTGTTCTATAGCTAGTCAAGAACCTTCAGCTTAAACTCTCTATCAAATGAATACAGAAGGATAATCCCAATTTGTCACACTTCCTAAAGCATCATATGGACCACGATCCTATTGGTGTTTGTGTACAATTAGTGTAACTTGCTGCAGGTAATTGTGACTAATAAATGAGATGCCAGTGCACACCTTGAGCCCGTGATTAGACAAATAATGATGTGCCCTGGCATCTTGTCAGTTAACTGTAATTAGTGGTTGCCACGTTGCACAAACTATTAGGATTCTGTCCGTTATGTTGCTGTTGTTGTTATTAGTGGGTTGGGTTCCATGAATTCCATGATCCAGCTCAAAGTCTTACTGTATATCGTATTCTAGAAACCACAGCATAACAGAATGGGAAAAATATACCCTACAACTAAGGGAACAACAAAGACCTCTGCATCAGAGGGACACTGAGCCACTGAGTGTCTCTGAATCTTAAAAAGTACCTACCAATAGTAATCATGAAGCATGCAGGAGACAACTGTGTAGTTTGAAACTATAACAGGAAAAAAAATGAAAGGTGTGCCCTGAACCTTTTGAAAGTTGAAGAAGCCAAGCCATCGTAGGTAGAAAGCAGGAGATTATACACACCATACCAAACATATTGCTGTAGCATCCTCCACTGCAACAAAGTGCTCAATCCTGACACCATAATCTCTAAAAAGAGTATAATGCAAAGATAAAAGATAGAAGAAGGATCATCAAAAAATGGTTGGAAGCCGAAGCAGACTTCCATATAAAGATACCACGAAGATGATGGGAACACTTAGCCTAGGGAGAAGATAAATCAGATTGAGGAGTTATGAACATCCCTGGTCACCTGTATATACAATAGAGGAAGAAAGAAATATAAACTGGGTAAAAAATATTGATTGGAACATTTGACATAGATATATCATAGAATCCTTTACACCGGAAATTATTAGGGAAGAGAATCAAGCATGAGGACCGATGCTCATTAAGCTTTCTGTTTTGTGGATTAATAGATACAATGATATTGTCCACAGTAGTACTAGGAAAATGGGGTGTAAGGATGTCACCATCATGTCTCCAGTAAAAGGGCCAACATATGTCCTACTGTGTATTGAGGTTATTTGATTATTTGATAAATGCTTGACTAGGTTGAATAATTTGGTTGCTTTCCAGATGTTTTGGACCACAAGTACCATAATCCCTGGGCAGGATGGACTGTGCTGGTTGGGGCTTTATAGAGCTGTAGTCTGAAACATCCAGAGAGTACACTATCAGGGGAGATATTATAGCATATCAAAGTCTGAAGCATCCAGGTAGCGAGATGTTTCTGGGTTGTTTCAGTGCCAACATTCTCTATATCAAGCAGTGCTTTACATGGAATGTCCTCCGTTTCCTCCATCCTGCCTTTGTTCTTCCATGTCCGTCGTTGTTTCTTTACTGCCTTCATTCAAGTATTTTCCCCTCCTGCCAGCAGCTAGTATTTTGTGTGTGTGGAGCGGGTGTTGGTGTATGTGCGTGAGAGAAACCTGGACTCACTTCCTCAGCAGACTCTTGGCTCATGGGGTCAAGATGCCAGCCAGGGCTGCTCTGTGTGGACCAGCTGTGAACAGAGAGAGAGAGAGAGTGACACACACAAACACATGCACACCATTGCAGTTGAGCCAAAGGAAGAGAAATGAGGCTACCAGAATGAAACAAGAGTGGGATGAACGCCGCGGGAGAAAGGGTAGATGCTAGGTCATGAACTAAGATTAAAAGAGGACATATACTGTGGGTGTGGCCCAGATTTCATCAAATGATTTTTTTGAAAGCTAACATGAGGGAAAAACACTCATTGGACTAAAACTTTATAGCTCAGTTGTTTAGGCTGTGGAGCCAGAGGTCAAGGAGTTCAATTCCCGGCTAGGCCTGCTTGACAAGGGGTGGACTCATTGATCCATAGGGTCCTTTCCAGCTCTGTAGTTCTAAGATGATGATGATGATGATGATGATGATGATGAAGAAGAAGAAGAAGAAGAAGAAGAAGAAGAAGAAGAAGAAGAAGAAGAAGCAGCTTGTTCTTCACCTGTGTGGTGTACGTACAATCTCTGATCATCTTTCCAATTCCCTAATAAACAGAATGGGACACTTTTTAAACATCCTTTCCAATAATTTCTCCTTGGGCATTTTTTAGAAGAGAGACAGAACGAGAGAAGTCTCAGCACATTGCTTTAAAAAAATCAGATTTTATAAAAAGGTCAGGTGTGCACACGGTGCCATTATATCTGTGAAGATTCTCAGTCATCCAGGTGTGGTTATCTGGAAGTTGAGTCATGGCAACTGGACTTCTTTCTCGTTAGGTTGAAACATTTCACAAATTAATACCTATGTATTGACTCTCATCACCCATTGCAACACAAACCAGGGGTCCTTAGGACGCTACGCCACAGAGCAAGAAACATCCCCACCTCCACAGAAGCCAAGAAGAAGGATGATGGACATCGGAGCACAGTCCTGACCCAGGAGGACAATGGAACAGTCTGAAACCAGGAGCCGATGGAAGAACCTGGTCATACATGGCGGGTGTGTCTGAAAAGCTCAGAAGGACTTTTGGTGAACATCACATACCCGTGTACTTGTCCACCCAAAAGACTGGACACCAAAACACAACAGGAGCAATATAGAGTATCATACAGAAGCATCAAACTCAATTCCAGAATAAAAATTGTAAACTCCTATCTCAGAGAAAGTATATTTTAAAAACCTTCTGTATAAAGTTCTGCCTTAGCAAGTTTTCTGAAAGTAAGGAGGGATGGGACCAGAGATACATCCAGTGGAAGGGCGTTCCACAGGGATCGGGGCCACCAATTCCTAGTTGATAGTCTTCTGGCCTCTCTTGGCATTAATTAATTAATTCATTCATTCATTCATTCATTCATTCATTTCTTTACCACCCCATTAGTGTATATGCACTATTGTGGATGGTGAACAAGCTAAAAGCAAACAACCAAATGGGCAATAAACCAACCAATCATGCAAAACAAAAGTGGTATGGCCACTCTAAGCACTTTTTGGAAAGGCTGATTTACTCCTTACTCCTTCTGTAGAGGACTCTGTGAGACTCCTCTTGAATATAGTGAGCTGCCCACTCTCTAAAATATGTTTGTTTTCCCACTGACCTTCAGCAGCCCTTCACCAGGGTTGCTGAGTCTTAGGGAACGAACAGCTATGACCTCAGAGAACTGTTTTGTTTTGTTTTTTGCTTCCTTGGTTCTTCAAGCAGGGAGAAAAATCTCAAGAAAAGCAATGTTGGAGGAGGAGAACGTTTGGTTTTTATTTTTATTTTCCTACGAAGGTGTGTGTATAT